TTGTTGTTAGGGGTGTAGTGGGAATCAAACATGGGAGTACTGTGTCCTTTACAGTACATTTTGGATCAAAATATTTCTTCTCATCATGCAAACTTTATGTTACGTATTGAGCTGCAGTGCGGTTATACTGAATGGCTTTTGTATTTTAGGAACCTTTCAATCTGGATGGTGGTGGTGAGCCAATATATCCAGGGAGTGATGTCACCAAAGGTCAAACCATTCTAATGATGTTGGTCTTCATTCTACGTCATAGCCTAAGTGGAGAAGGTCTCAGTGATTTCCTGAAAATGCTTGATATTCTGTTTCCTGGTACACTGCCCGCCACAAAGTTCCTGTTTAACAAATGTTTTGTGTCCATCAACAATAGTTTTGAGATCCACTTCTACTGTGAGTCGTGCCATGAGTACATTTGTAAGGACAGCAACTTAGTTGATATGTGTCAAGAATGCCAAAATCCTTTCAACAAAACCCTAAATCTTAGGAATGGGTCCTTCTTCATTTATCTACCATTAGCTTCTCAACTGAGAGATGTACTGGAGAACTATGTGACAAATTTTCAAACAATTATAGACAAAGCTTCTTGGATTTGGGATGACACAGTTAGTGATATATTTGATGGGGACATCATGAAAAGCTACATTCAAAATGGCATGATTGGGAAATGGGATCTGACATTACTATGGAACTGTGATGGAGTACCCGTCTTTGAATCCTCTCAATATTCCTTGTGGCCAATTCAATTCACGATAAATGAATTACCACCTAGTATTAGGAAAGGACATGTCCTATTGTCTGCTCTTTGGTTCGGCAAGTCTAAGCCAGTGATGAACACATTTCTTAAGCCATTCATAGATGAAATGGAGAGTTTGAAGGATCATGGCTTGAAGTGGGTAGATGGTGAGGTAATTCGTAGGAGCAGAGTGTTTGCTGTTGTTAGTGCCTGTGATTCTGTAGCCAGGCCATTGCTGAAACACAGTACACAGTTTAATGGAAAGCATGGCTGTGACTGGTGTCTTCATCCTGGGGAACGAGTAGCTAAAGGTCATGGCTATGTTAATGCATACCCTTACCTACACCCACCTGCAGATAGTAGACAACTCAACCAGTGGGAGGATGATGCAATTCAGGCCTCACAGGAGGGCCACCCTGTTCACGGCGTGAAAGGCCTGTCACCTCTTCTGTTCCTGCCACTGTTTAACATTATAAGTAGTTTCATACCAGATTATATGCATGCGGTTCTTTTGGGTGTTGTGCGGCAATTTCTTACTCTGTGGATAGACAGCTCCAATCATACTCTACCCTGGTACATTGGTACAAAACTTAATGTCCTGAACGAACGATTGCTCTCTGTAAAACCACCTAAAGAGCTTACTCGTACACCTTCTTCACTTGACAAATTAAAATTTTGGAAAGCTTCCGAGTTCAAAAGTTGGCTTCTATATTATTCCATGATTACCCTTGACGGTATATTGCCTACACAGTATCTTAATCACTGGGCACTTCTGGTTTATGCAATGTATGCACTCTTAATGACCAACATCCCTCGGCAGGTCTTGGAAAAGGCTGATGTTGCTTTACACAAATTTGTCATACAGATGGAATTATTGTATGGTAAGGAGCATGTCAGCTTTAATGTTCATCAGCTTACTCACTTATGTGAGAGTGTGAAGTTATGGGGGCCATTATGGTGCATATCTGCTTTTACATTTGAAGGCAATAATCACAATCTGATGCAGTATTTCCATGGAACCCAGAGTGTCCCCAGACAAATATGCCGAACTTTTCTACTGTGGCGTGATATCCCAAGAAACATTCACAGCCATGTCAAGGACAAAAATTCCACTGTGTTTGACTATTGTTGTCAGCTACTTGGAAAAAGAGTAGTTCAGAGGCATTTGATTGTAGGCGATTTTCATATATTTGGTGCACCTACATTTTCACCCCTCTTGCCTAGACAGTACGCAGCTGTTGAAAGACATTTTAATGTCTTACCTAAGAATGAGCCTGTACAGTGTTTTAAGAGGTTTTTATACAAAGGCACGCTCTACACAACTGCAGGATACACACGTATGCAGAAACGTACCAATTCAGTAGTGATGCTAAGTGATGAAAGCTTTGTACAAATTCAGGATTTTGCTCTTCTGAAAATTCAGTGCAACTGTGCCCTTACTAAATGTGCTTGTGATGAGATACCAGTGATTTTTGGATATCCTCTAGCAGTAAAACAGAAAGTTATGTTCAGGGATAGGCAATTGAACCTCTATATTGATTTTATCCAAGAGGTCAATGAGAAACAAGACACTATTGTTGTAACAGCTTCATCACTACATAAAAAGTGTGTTTTATTTGCAGTCAGCAAAAGAAAGTATGTAGTTCCTCTAGTGAACAATATTGAAACTGATTAAAATTTAGGTAAATGACAGAGTAATTATAGAAGGAAAAGTTGCTATAGGTATGTACAATATATAACAGTATAAAAAATAGGAGTAGTAAATCCTTGCCTAATTTTTTGGGCCTGGGGATGTTTGTGTATATGCAATGTATGTATGTATGTATTTTATATATATATGACTTAATTTGCTTAATTAAATGTACTATTGTGATATGATAGTCAATTGACAGACTGCTAGTCTATTATTGATGTTACTACTATTACTT